TACTTGAGGAACAGGAGAGCCTTGGCAGCTCTCTCTGCTGCTCCTGCACCTGCAGCCAGGGACCTCACGCAGCAGCTGGAGCCTTGGTCCAGACTTAGCTGCTCTTTGACCCTTCCTTGCTCAGAGGCAGCATCAGGCACCAGGATTTGAGCCCCTCATCCAGTCTGTAAGCTGAACCCAGGTCAGGGTCTCCCTGACAGATCCTTCTTTCCCTTCCATGTGCACGCGAGGTGTCCCTTACCACAGGATGTGATCCAGAGCTCTTGGTTTCAAGCAGGAGGCTTCCCAAGGTGACAGCAGGCTTGAAAGAGGACCATGTGGAAGAGGGCTGCGTTGTCAGCATGCCAGGAGGTTGCTCACTCATTAAGCCTAAGTACATGCAGCGTGAGCAGGTTCAAAGACGGATCCATCACTGTTGAGCAATGGCCCTGCTGCCAGGGATGAAGGCGAATTTCTGTTAGCTGCCCCTGATGAGGGAGACTGAGGGAGCGTAGGGCCAACTGCTTCATTTCACATCCACAGGGTGCTGGTGTCCCCTCTGCAGCCACTGAGACCAGGCACGGGCAGGGAAAGGGTGGCAGGTCACAAGGTAGCACAGAGGCTCATAGGTGAGGATTTGCAGTCACCCCCGAAACCACTCTTGTGAATCCCAGCCTCTGCAAACCAGTGGTCAATGCAACAGCAAACCAAAGGGTTAATGAAAAGCTTTCATGCATTGGGATTCATTAGCCGGGACTCATTAAACAGCAAATAAGAGCCCTGGTGTTGCCAACTGGGCCCTGCTGAAGGCAGCTCCTGCGGGTGAGGGAGGCAGCCTGGGACTGCAGGAGACCCCCATGCTGGGGGGCTGCTGAGTGAGCCCCCATCGTTCCCTGGCAGACCGTGGCCAGAGCATCCCACCAGAGATGGGAATCAGCGCAGGAAGGGGGGGCATGGGGGTGCTGGCAGGGGGTACCCCTTCACACCACCTCCCCAGCGGTTTAATGTCTGTTCACAACGCCCAGCAGCCCATCAGGCCTGGCCAGGCTCAACTGTTCAGACCCCTGGTGTGACATCCAGTTCTGTCACCAGGAAGAGGGAGCTGAGCTTCTGCCAGCTCTGTCCTCCCAGCCCCTGTGAGCCCATCATGGAGCCGGGGATGAGTGCATGACATCCCAAACCTGTGGCCCTCCACTGCAGCGTGAGGTGTGGGGAACACAGCACCCACGCGTGGTTGCATGAGATGTGCAGCTCCATTAATGCTTTCATGGTGGAGCACGGCTGTCCCCGGCCAGTTTCTCACAAGATGCTCTGCATTCCCATTGCTGAGCTTGCAGCCAGTGTTTTCCTGGGTGATGGTGTGCCACCAGCCAGCACTGATGGAGCTTGTGGCCACCTGGGCCACCACTGTGCCATGCTGGGCAAGCAGCAGCCCATGCAAGCCCACATCTCCCTGTATCCTCCGGGATGAGCAGGGAGCCACAAACACATGGAAACACAGGGGGACTGTGGGGTGTTGGGCATCTTTCCGAGGGCCACACAGGCAGCCTGGGCACGGTGGAGGCTGAGGAAGGTGAGGCATAGACTGTCCACCCCGGGGATGGCCACTGCCTGGTCCTAGGCAGGATGGACCACGCTGTAAACAGGACAAGGCTTGTAAACAGGGCTCCAGCTGGGATAAATTTAGCCCATTGGGGTTGCAGCCCTGGCGCGGCAGGACACAGTGTCAGGGCATTGTCGAGAGGAGAGTGGGAGAAAGAAACTGAATAAACAAACACAGCTTGTCCCTTTTTTTTTTTTTTTTTTTTTTTTTTTTTTGTCCCAGCGTTGTTATTTCAGCCGGACAATTGCCCTGCAGATTGAGGGAATAGGCTGGAGTTCAAGTGAATTTGGCTTCCAGTGCCTCCCTTTTTACATTGTGTTTTCACGTGGGAATGTGTCCTGGCATATATGGCGGGGTGTCCGTACCCGTGTGTGTGGACAACTCCATGGATGCTCCCCACACGCCTCTGGGCTGGACCACAGGGATACGGGCTGCTTTGAGGCCCAGGTGAGGCTGAGTAACTTGGTGTTGACTTTGCTTTCTCCATGTGCACAGCCCAGACTAACCCTCATGGGTGTCCAGGAGCACACGTGCAAGGTGATCTGTGCTCTGCGTGCATCTCTGGAGGTGTCCCCCCATAGCAGAGGGGACGGTGTATAGGTGAAGATCTTTTGAGGGCTTTAGAAATGGGGATCAGGATTCCTGAGCTTTTTTCCCCTAGTTCTGTTATTGGGTTTGGACAAGTCATATTCCCTTGACAAAATCATCCATGATCTCGGGAGCAGAGGGTCTGGATCTTCTCAGTCAGCCCTGCTCTGTGACGACCTAAGTCTTTTCTAAAGGCCATGTTTAGAAGCAGCCTAATTTTCACATCTTAATTTTATTTTTCTCACATCTCTCTCTGACACACACATACACACACACACACTTCTATTGGAAAAACGATTTTAATACCCATGGCACATTGTCCTGGTGTGATATAAAATCCAATGACATGTGGCATTTGGAAAAGGTCACTTCTCCCATCAGGATTCATTATCCTACCTCAGCCTGGGAAGCCATGGGGTTGCCCCCACCTCTGCGGAACCCTTGCCCCCTCCCCGGCTGTGGTGGGCGAGCAGGGAACAGGGATGAGGTGGCCACGCTGGGGACTTTGACAGTGTCAGGGCAGTCACTGCAGCGAGGGCTCTTGTTTCTCATGTTGATGTCCCTGCCCTTCTCCATGCCTTCATTTTCCCACTTGCCATAGGGCAAGAGGAGTTACAGGGACATGTTGCTGGAAAGGTTTGGGCTGCAGAGCTGGCTCTGCTGGGTGCACAGGGCTCGGACTGGCTTTCACCTGCCTCCCCCTGCTCGCTGCTCCTTCTCTGTTCCTTTTCGAGCAGGAGCCGGCTCTTGCGGTGCCCTCACTCTCCAGGGTTGCAGAAGGGAAACACTCCCCTTCCCTGTTTCACTTGTTCAGTTTTTTGGCTGGGTTGGTTGGGAAGTGCCCTTCCGTGTCAGTGCTCGCCACCACCTAGGCAGAACAGAGAAGAGAAAGTGGAGGGTCCATGGAAAGCTCAGCTCCTCCCCAGCTTCCCCACCAAGCATGGGGTCCCTGGCTGCCCTGTGCTCAGTGCCCCCCAGCCCCTGGCCAAACCAGCAGTGCCCAGAAGGCTGGGTGCAGCAGCACTGGCGGGGCTCTGACCTATCTCTTGGTGATTGTCCACGCAGGTCAGCATGCTGGGCTGGAAAGGGGTCCCTGGTGCATGTTGCGGGTGAGGGACAGCAGGTCAGGAGTGGAGGATGCTCACAGCAGGGCAGGAGTGAGAGGCTGTCTTGGGGTGCTTGGATGTTTTTGCCTTTTCTCGGACTCATTTCTGCTCAGGCTTCCCCAGGGCCATCTTTGTCCAAGTACAGTCACCTCTCCATGGTGTTTCCAGTCCAGCTTGGAGCTATTCCCTGGAAAGGCAGAAGAATGCAGGAGTGCCAAACCTCCTGTGGAGGCTGCCCGGGGGTGCTCAGGGCTGCAGCCCCTTGCAGGGCAGAGCATGGGCTGTTCCCCAGCACATCGTCCCATGGGCAGGGGACCTGGGAACCAGGACTTCTCTGCTTGGTCACAAAATACCTTGAGGCACCTTGGGCAAGTCGTTCACCTCCACAACCCCATTCCCCACCCGCGGGGAAGAGGTGAGGGTGGGTGCACTGGGCATGCAGTGGGCCTGGGGCTGCGGGAAGGGCAGGAGGGGAGGAGTGGGGGCAGTTGTTCCTGGGGAGAGGAGGATTATTTTCGCAGTGGGGAGTGGGATTTGACGCCTGCTGAAGATGACTTCTCCGAGTGCTGAGGGTGATGGTGAGTGTAGCCCCTTCCTACCATATAAACACCAATGAGTTATGGGTACCCCCAGCCTCTAATTATGCAGTCAGCCCCAAATAGGCTGTGTCTAACGAGGCTGACAGACTAATATCTCAAGAGCCCTTAATGCGTTATCATCTCTTGCTGTATGACCTCATATTTATAACTGCTCTGGTGGGAGGTTGAGAAATGTCCTTCTCTTCCCCCAGCCCCCTCCCCAACTTCCCCCCCCACCGGAGCAGCAGCTCTTCAGCCTCATCTGTTAGGATCAAGAGGAGAGAGGCGACTTCTCTCCATCCATCATGAGTAGAGTTCGCGCTATTAGATGATTAAAGACATTTTTTATAATATTTGGAAGAGGCTTTGAAATGTCTCTCAAACAGTGTGATTAATGCCTGCTTAACCCTTGCCTGGCTGGGATGGTGTGGTGGGAAGGTGGGTGCATCCCAGGGCAGGGCTCCCCAGGGCATCTCAGCGGTCGCCTGGCCGTTGAGCACCCCGAGCCCTGACAAGGTGTGATTCATGAGCACGGGGCACCTGCAGGAAGCTCCGGCCTCCAGGCAGCTCCTAACGCACCGGGGACTTGGTGGTTTCTGAGGCTGCAACGGCTGGGGCAGGAGGAAGCAGCGCCTGCCCCCTCTCCAGTGCTTACACAAGAGGCCCTGGGGCTGTGCCGATCCGAGTCCGCAAGCCAGACCATCCCACACTGCTGTGGGTTTCAAGGGCAACCAGGGAGAGGGGGTGAGAAGCCTGTGCCCATTCCTGGCTGTCCTGAGCTGGTGGGGTGTTTGCTTTCCTCATTTCCCCTTCTTTTTCCTCTGCCTCTCTGGGTGACTCGCTCTCAGAGGCAAGTCTCTCCAAAAAAATCACGGGCATCTAGATGCTCCAGTAGGATCCACCTTTAGGACGTTCCATCCTGGCTCGGAGTTTGACATATAGACCAGTGGGGCTAGTGGAAACGTTCACACTAAAATTTGTGTTGGCATTGTCCGGTACCTGCCAAAGGCCAAATCACTGATGTTTGCCGACGTTGGTTCCCGTGGGGGAGTGGAGATTTGGCCTCAGATGGGGGAAGGATGCCTGTCTCCTTTGATCACAGGCGCAATGTTTCATAATCTCAATTTCTTGTCAATTGATTGCCAGATAGAAGCGACAACCAAAGAGGGCCCCAGGCGTCTGCAACTGCCACTCATCGTATGATTTTAACTCTCCCCCTCTGTAAGTTTGCATTATTTTCTTCTTGTTGTTGTTGTTATCTAAAGAAACCTCCCCTCCCTTCCCCTCAAAAAAAGCCTCTTAGAAATCCGAACGTCCTTGTCAATTTGCTATTCAGTGTACAAATATCTGAGAAGGGTTAATGCATGATTAATAGGTGTTTTATTAAAATGGTTAATCTGTCATTATAGAGTCCAAAAGATCAATAGATTTCTTATAATCATGGTTTAAAATCATCTTTATCACCACTGCTTATGGGCTTAAGACCCTGAGCAAGATGCTTAGGGGACCTGGGAGTCTCCTGTTAAACTCCTTCTAACCCTTCTGCCATCTGAAGTGCGACCCAAGGTCTCCCGCAGACAGAGAAAAGCCGACACAGGGCTGCACGTACTGTTATGGTTACCATCCACCTTATTATTTATGGGTATTAAAATTGTCACACCTGAGTGACAGAAAAGGGAAATGGAAAGAGGGAGAAACTAGGAATGCAGCTGGATAAATGCTCTTTGTTACGACCGTCAGCAGCGCCCGAGCGGAGCGAGGCAGGGGCACGGCTGGGCTGTCTCCGATCCATTAGTGTCGTTGCAAAGCAGCAAGCAGCCAGCGTTGGCCAAGCATCGCCCCATCGCAGCCGTGCTCCGTCACTAACGAGCTCTGCCTCGCACGCCGGGGTGAGGCGGGAGGGGGTTCCAGCCTTGCACGGAGGCAAAGCCGTGGGCTGGGGGTGAGGCAGGGTGTCGGTGGCCGGGGAGGATCAGCCCGATGCCACCTGAGTCCCATCCGTGTCCTCAGCCCCAGAGGCTGCTTTCCTAGCAGCTGGATGATATTGGGTCTGGTTGACCCAACCCTTTGAGATGCCTGGTCCAAGCTGCTTTTGGATAACTCTGGCGATACCGTGACAAATCCCAGAGACGCTTTGCTGCCGACCCCCAGCGCGAGGTCTCTGTGGGAGGAGGTGCTGTTTAGACAGGCTGACACGGGAGTGACTGAGCCAGTGCAGGCAGGGGGGAGCTCAGCCCCCTCTCTGCCCCCTAACCACCCCGCAGCATCCTCTCCTCTGCAGCAGAGGAGGGATCCTGAGGTCATGCGGGGGGTTTGTGGGGGACCCTGGATGGCAATCTGGAGCATCACAGGAGCACCGCGCTCTGAGCACAAGGCAAGGCAGCTGGCACCGGTGAGTGATCCCCGAGAGATTTTGGGAGCCTTGGCTATGGATATTGCTGCGGCACTCATACAGTGGAGACCCAGACCGTCTGCCTAGTGAGCAGAGTAGATGTTGGTGTGCTGGACCAGTTCTGGTGGCCTGAAACCCTGCCCTGTGCCTCCGTGTCTTTCTCCAAGATGCATGTGTGCGGGATGAACAGACTTTTGTGCAGCCTCTGTCACTACAAGCCTGCCCAGGGTTGGAGACCCTTGCTCAGAGGCTGCTGGGCGCTGGTGCTCTCTGATAGTTTGGTCACGCAGAGTGCTTCTGCTGCATCCCCCCTTCCTCTCCTCCTCGCCCTGCGTGGGGGCTCAGCCCCGTTCCCCACCAGACTCTGCTCCCTCCTCGATCCTGCAGCCCATGCCGGCCAGCTGGCCTCAAACCCTAGTTCAGGTAAGATGAAGGCAAGTTCACATGGTTACTTCCCTTTCTCTTCCCTGCCTGTCCTGCACTCATCCGGCTTCAGGCTGGCTTGAATAACTCCCACCTGGCAAGAAATCCCAAACCTGCCCCATCCAGCTGGTGGGTGCGTGCCTGGTGCAGGGGTCCCAGCCTGCCAGGAGGGTATCGCTGCCTCCACTTCCCACCCCCACCGATGCCTGACGTAGGGCTGGGTGGAGATTTTCCAGACCCCCTGGGTGCAGCCTTCTCCATCCCTGCCTCTCTGCATATTTCTGGGCCATTACGTTCGACAGGGAGAATTTGTTTCTGTCCAGAACAGATCCCCAGACAGTCTCAAACCTCTGAGGATTTATCATCCTGAGATGATCCAGGAGCACTGACCCCTCTCTTCCCCCATGGATGCCCAGGCTTCCCCGCACCCTGGTCGCACACGTGCCTGCAAAGGCCACTGCTGGGGACAGGATGCTGCGGTGACAGCGGCAGGGGACATGTCCTACCTACCAGGACAGTGATGGCTGTGGCTCCCTCTGGCTTTGCTCCCCAGGGCTGCTGAGGGAGGTGGCCCAGGGCAGGGCACGCTGTGGTCCCAGCACAGAAATCCCCCGGGATCCTTAGGTCACATTCAGCCTGCCCCAGGACTGGTGGCAGCAGAGCCCGGGCTTGTCCCCTTGCAGCCCCCAAATTACGTCCCTGCTTGCAGCCCTGCACCACAGCAGCTGAGCAGCTGGGAGCACCGGGCACAAGTGAGGTGTGAGCCCCCCTCATTCATCTCAGGGGTCAGCACTGACGTCCCCTCATGTCTAATAGAGATGAAACAGTGGCAGCCACCTGTGCCGAGTGACAGCGGGGTGACAGCGGAGGCGGCGCAGGTGCCAGCGCCGCTGGCCACACTCTCCATCTAAGCAGATGTTCAGCTGCCCCGTGGTCACGGTGGTGAGGATTTGGGGTCACCCTGAGCAGGTTTGGGTCTATCAGGAGAAAGCTATCGGCTGGCACAGGTAGCGACTGAGGTTGCATTTCCAAATCACCGCCGTTGCTGCATTAGATGGGGACCCCACTTGCCACCAGCCCCCTGCTTGCTCTCCTCCTGTCCCAGAGGCCACTGTGTTGGGGACAGAAAGCTGCTCTAGAGACCGGTGGAGTGTGACAGAGAGGGAAAGGGGTGCAGGGCTGGTCCGCCAAAGCGCCGCCCCGGCAGCCGAGTCCCCTCCCTGGCTGCCCACATTCCTTTGCAGCACTGCCAGGAAGGGGGGAACCAACCTTTGGCACGTTTATTGACACTCCCTGAGTTCATACTGTGACTCTACAATCTTTCCCTGAGATTATTAAGAATTAATTGATCACTTTTATATTCCCCCCGATACCCAGTGGTGCTTTGCGACAGGCTGCAGGAGGAGGGAAGGGAGACAGGAGGAGGGCGGGGTGTGTGTAAAAAACACACTGATAAATGTTAATTACTCTTTTACAGCCCTTGTCAAATTCCAAAGCAAGTCGTAAATTCATTAAACTCTAACGGATTAAGCACATGCAGCTTATTTAGTCGCCATAAACAAGATCATTTGGATGTTGATTTTCCCCTTTTTATTGCTGCAGCAGAAAAGGGGAAAAAATCAGATGAAGGAAGCAGTTGGTGGTTACCAGAGAGTCAAAAGTTTGGATTTATTTCATATCTTATTTTCTTGCTCCATGCTGTAGCGCATTGGTCCTTGGGTTCTGCCTGGGCAGTGTCTTGCCAGGGAGTGTGGCCTTCCCAGGAGCAGTGTCTGTGCCCCAACTAGCTGAGTTGGCGTGGACTGCCCTGGGATGGAGGGGGCACGCTGCACAAAAGGTCTCCGTGTCTCCTCTGTGTTCCAGGGCTGCCTTCTTTGTGCTGAGGCTCTTAAAAAGCCAAGCAAGGTCTGGCTGACCAGAGATGGGATAGTCAAAGATGTCTCAGTGGTGGTTTTGGGTTGGGCTGGCAGCTCTGCACTCCATCGTGCTGGGAGGTCTCCAAGGGTACGTTGTCTCCAACGAGGCTCAACCAGCTCCTGGGATATAGGAATCTGCCCTCAGCTACTCTGCAAGAGACTCTGCAGGCAGAGGCAGCATAAGAGCAGTTCTGCTCATTCTGGGAGGTTTCAGCTCATTTAATTACTGTCCCCAAGGTGCTGACTTTGCCCAAGTGAGCGAGACGTGTCCCCAACCAAGTCCAGCCACGAGAGAGAGGAGGCAGGGAAGGGACATCATGGTGGTGGGGAGGGACAGGGCACCTTCAGCTGCTCTGAACACGGAGAGGCAGCCCAGGGTCTGCCAATTCGCTCGGTGAGCTTACCATCCTCTACTTGCACATGTTAATCCAGGCTCACCTCCTGAGCTGTGGAAGCAGGGGAAGGAGAATGAGAGCCATGGAGATTAATTAATACTCAGGGCTCTAATTACAAGTTTCTTCAACAGTGGACCTCTAATGAGGAACAGCCCCAAGTCCTGCTGCCCCCCAGCTGGCCCTGCTGAGACATCTCCTGCCTCCTTGCAGGGGTGGTTTTACTGGGAGAGGGATGGGAGTTAACCCCCAGCCACCAGCATCTCCCACTTTGGCTCTGGGGCTCCAGACTGTGTGGCCAAGAAGTTGCTGTGTTGCTGTGTAACCCTGTCCAGTACCATGGGAGGGAGGCAGGAGGTGGTGGGGGACCAGAGAACCTTGATGGGTCTCACAGCCTGGTCCTGCACAGTGGAAGGCAAGAGCTCTGGCACTGCTGGCTCTGCTGGTGCTGGTTAACCATCTCCAGCTGAGCAGCTCAGGCCAGCGGTGCTGGCCCTGGCACACAGCCCTGCTTCTCCAGCATCTCCCAGCCTCCAGTGAGGCTGTGCTCATCGGGAGCTGCAGGCAGCCATGCACTGCAGGCAGCAGAGGGAACTCTAAACACCTCACCGGAGCTCCCTGCCTGGCTGCTGCCAGAAAAATTTAGGGCTTTTGCTTCAGAGTCCTCAGCAGCACTTCATCTAAAGGAGGTGGCCTAGGTGCTAGAGGGGCAACTGCCCTCCTCCAGCCCCATCTGAGCCAATCTCTGAAGCGGGTACAGCCCAGGAGGGTCTGAGCCATGGGTATGTACGTAACCACCCTGGCCCTGCTCCCCGCTGTGTTTGCGTCTCGGAGGGCAGAGGGAAGGAGAGGAACCACTGAAGGTCTCAAAGAGGACAGCGATGGGGTGCCAGCCTTCAGAGCCCCATTCCTAGCAAGCATTTCCCCCCCCCCCCAAGTCTTTCCAGTAGGTACAGTGTGCACAGATAAGTGCCAGCAGAAGCTTCCCTGCCCGCCAGATCCCTTTGTGCTTTCCCACTGCATGGAGGTGCCCTCCAGAGATCTTCCCAGGCTTCTGAGTGTGGACGGGGCATCCAGGGGTTAACGGAAGGAGCGTGT